AAGCATGGGCAGAGTTAATGGCCCGGAAAAGATGACCTGCGGGAGGTGGCTGCAGGGACAGATGCTGAGTAAGGACATTTGGCATCTTCCTGTGGGGAGCCAGACCCAGACTCACCAGAGAAGCCAGAGAGCCCAAGAAGACAGATGGAACCACCCTTGGGGGCCAGCAAGAGCCTGGGATGGCTCCCTCCTCATTCACGCCTCATTACCAGGCTGTTCAGCCTATGCCCTACACCACAGAGGAGGCCAGCATGCTCCTGCAACAAGGGCAGTCTTTCTGGAGCGGATTTGGGGAAGGGGTTACTCCTCACCCCCCCAAATACTTGCTCCATTGCCCTTCACGGGCTCTGAAATCCCACCATGGCAGAGCCCTACACCCTCTTCCATGCCCCTCAGCTCACAGCGGTCCCTAAACCACCTCCCTGTACCTCAAAGCCCTCCCAGCCCCATGCACACAAGCGGCTCCTCTACGGGGCAGGTCTCCCCATTCCCAAGACTGGACATCAGCAATCTTCAAATCATATATGACACAAAGGGCTCGGGAGCCTCGTGACAACCTGTTACAGTTACTGTTAGGTGCCCGGCAGGACAGAGGGAGGGAGTGGGAGGGAGAAGAGGAAGAGAACAGGAGAGGGGTGGGAGACTGGGGATCAGAAGGGAGGCAGGGGCTGGGGATGTGGCTCAGTGGTGCCAGCTGTGTGCCTCAGCACGGGGTCCTGAGTTTGATCCCTGTGAAAGCAAGAAAGGAAGGGGGGGGAGGGAGGGAGGGAGGGAGGGAGGAAGAGAGGGAGGGAGAGAGAGAGAAAGAAAGAAAATCAAGGAGGGAGAAAGAGAAAGAGGGGAAGGAGGGAGGATGGTGGGGGCAAGCTCTAGGAGGAGGAGAGGATGTAGAGCAGTAGGGAGTACGGGGTACCTGAAGGACAGGTGGAATTTTCACTCTTGACAATGGAAAATGAAGGTTATGGACCTCTGCCATTCTCTCCCTGGAAACAACAAAATGACAGCCCTTGCAAAAAAAAAAAAAAAAAAAAAAAAAAAAGGAACTTTCTTATTGCCGGGACACAATACCCAACACCCACAGCTCTAAGGAGAAAAGATCTATTCTGGCTCACATTTTGTACAGGTTTCAGTCCGTAGTCAGATGGCTCCAAGGTAGGGCAGTGTAGCAGGGGAGAATTATGCCATGCAGCAGGAGCAGAGAGGGTTCAAGGGAGGAGGGAGATGGACCCTCCAGGCCCCGCCCCCAGTGACCCCTCCTCCATCAGGCTCCACCTCCCAATAGCACAGTTAGCTATAAACCCATCAATGGGAGAATCCACTGATCAATATCACACCCATGATCCATCACCTCCCAGACCCCACCTATGAGCTCATAAGTCTTTGGGGAACATTTAGATATAAACCATTAAAAAAAAAAAAAAGATAATAGAAGCCGGGTGTGGTGGCACACGCCTGTAATCCCAGTACACGGGAGGCTGAGGCAGGAGGATCGATGTGGGTTCGAGACCAGCCTGGGCTACATAGTGAGTTCCACATCCTGGCTTTTTCAACATCCTGGGGTCTCCACTGCACTTTCCACTTCTCACTCACAGCTTCACTGCCCTCTCAGGGTCACCCTGCCTGGTCTCCTGGCCTTCTGAAGTCTGGGTGGGAGCCTCCCCGACCCCACAACTCTTACATTCTGCATGCATGTAAAACCAGCACCCTGTGTATAAAGCCAAGCTCAGCCACCAGTGGGAGCAGTAGCTAAGCCCTTTCGCATTTTGCTCAGGGTTGCTGAGGCATCTGAGTGCCTGACTGGCTGAGAGAAGTAAACAGAACCCTGGGGAATCAATTCCCTAGGCAGCTGTTCTCCCGCTCTGGACCACAATATCCTGGGGCTCTCTTCTCAAAACAAAGTCTTTTGGTTTGGTTTTGTTTTTTTGAGACAGGGTCTCACTCTGTATTTGAGACTGACCTGGAACTATGTAGCCCAGGCTGGTCTCAACGCACAGCGTCCCTCCTGCCTCAGCCTCCTGTGTGCTGGGATTATAGGTGTGCACCACCACGCCTGGCTCAAAACAAAGTCTTTTACTTTCACAATTTTGAGTCTTCAAAGGGTGAGCCCTCTATGGTTCTTCCAATCCCCTTAAGATGTTTTTCCTATTCTCCCATTCCAAAGTACTTGAATTCTTTTTAGTGCTTCTTTTCAGCAACAAAGCTCCTCTGCTTCATCTTTGAAGGCCCCCGAGTTTATCAAAGCTTCCTTTCTGGCCAAACTCAAAACTTAAAATCATTCTGCTGGGCCTTTCACTCTTGATTCTCAGTGTAGATCTGGCTAAAAGCCCCCAGTAGTACCCTAGACATAGCCTTGAAATTTCCTCCATCGGATTGGGTAGTCTGTCACCCTTAATCTCAGTCTCAGGATATGAGCAAAATGTAGACAAATTTTCTGCCAAAGCATAACACATGGCCTGGAGGCAGTGCACATATGGAGTCCTTGTTCCCAGCTAAAACCTCCAGAGCTGATCTCTACCAGTTATGTTTCCATTAACATTATAGTTTTCTGAGCTCCGACCAGAATCTCCCATCAAGCTGGGCTTACAGTATTCTAACAGCTGCTTCTCCAGCTGGCATCTCCAAACCTCCCCAAACTCTTCCTACAGACTGGTTCCAAAGGCTTCTGAACCACCCAGTCAGGTAATAGCACAGTGATAACCCAGTTCTTTGGTACCAAAATCTGTTTTAGTTATTTTCTCTCAGGCAGAACAAAATACCCAACACCCACACCTCTATGGAGATATATAAACCATAACAGGAACCAAAGCAACAAAGACTCCTTGTATCCCTCTGCTCATAGACTAGCAACTTGTCTGTGTCCCTCTGTGTCTGAAGGAGCTCTCACTGGCCATCCAGGCAAGAAAAGGCTGCTGGGGAGCCAAACTCCACTTCAGAAGGGCCCCCAAACTCCCCAGGAGTGTGCAGCCTAAGTCCCTGCCCTCACACCTGCACGGAATGCACCCGCCCCTTGTTCCCAGTGGGTAGCACCTCTCCAACAATCTTGTTTCCTTAGCCACAGATGGACAGCCGTTCATACTCACCTACATACTACTTGGTAATGTTGGAGACCCCTGGAGGGTATCTGATCCCTCCACCTCTTTCTGGTGCTGTTCTCTCTTGTTGGTCCTGAACCAGGGAGAGGATGGGCAGGGATCTACGAGGCTTCGCACCAGCAAATGCCAGTAACCCCTGGCTCTGGCAGGTGGGTACAGAATGCTCTAGAATGCCAAGAGCCCACAGATGAGCATCTCTTACTTGCTCCTGACACCTTGCCTGCCTAGCTGCAGAGCAGCCTCCTTCTGCCATAGCTGCCCCCAGCACACTGGGAAGTGAGGCTTCACATTTTCCGAGCCATCCTCCTACAGAGGCCTGGGACGGTGAGCCTCACAGAGAGTCAGTGTGCACATCTGTAATCTGGGGAATGGGACATCTTCCAGGAGGCATCCCTGAGGGGATCAGCTGAGAGAAACAACATGACATCATGTGTTTTTCAGCACTTACTACATGCCACAAACTGGATCTCTTTACAAGCATTGCCTCCCTCATCCCCGGGGGATCATGGCAAAGTGCTTATCCAGCTCAGGCTACAGCCCCCAGGGCCTTCAGCTTTCCCTTTGATGTGACAAGTTTAGGCAAAGGAGTGGTCTCAGTGTCATGTTCACAAGACCATGCAGGCAGATGTGCCCCAGCCTACCCACTCCACAGAGCTGTGAGGTTTGCTGTCCAAGAATCTGGGCCAGCAGCAGAGCCACACCTGTTAAGGACAGGCTGCTCCTGCCTCACGCTGGCACGGGGAAAGCAAAGATGCCCACAGCAGAGAGCCGGGGACCACTTTGTGACACATTACAGGTGCAAAGGACAGGCACTGAGGTCATCTGTCCAGCTATTCTCCTGGCAACCACCTATTAGAGCCCCCTGGCTACCTGTATGCTGGGTACCTATGGCCCTCTGCAGCCTTCTTCCTCAAGAGTCTTCCTCTAAACCATAGGCTTGGCCAGTGCTGGGCAGAGGGGAGTGGGCTGAACTGAACTGCTCAGTCGACTAAGCTGAACTGAGCTAGATGGAGCTGAACTGATTAGAGTTGAACTAAACTGGATTAGGCTTGACTTGCCTAGGCTGGGCTGAGGTGTTCTGGTTTATGCTGGGCTGAGCTGGGCTGAACCAGGTTAGGTTGGGCTGGGCTGGATTAGAATGGGCTGGCCTGGGTTGGGCTGTGCTGTACTGGGCTTTGGTGGCTCTGTCTGAACTGAACTGAGCTAGGATGAGCTGCGGGGGAGCTAGATAGATACTCAGCAATGGGAAATAACTCTAGAATACAGGAAGATGAGCCAAAATTTTAGGAACCTCTAGCCAGTGTGTGTCTGATGCTGGGCCATTGTCCACCCTCTTGGTCCTCGGGCTTGGCTCCATCACTCCTGGGAGAGAGAAAGGCCACTGCAAGTCATGGGGTTCCTGTCAGGAGAGTTTCTCTGTGTTTAAGGATGAAGCTTTTGCCTCCCCACTGTCCCTAAACAAACCTGCGACAGAGTAGGGCAGCAGCTTCTTGGTGTTAGGTAACACACTCTGCCCGCCCAGCTCCCCCCTGCAACCGAGGCCGCAGCCAGGTTTGCCTGGTGCCCAGGAGGCAGTTGCTGCAGCTGGTCCTGCTGAAAGGGACAGCTGGTCCTAGATATACTACACAAGGGGTCAGTTGTGGTTACCCCTGGGATGTGCACCGGAGATCCCCCAGCCTCTGCAACAGCCCCCTCAGGGCCCCACCAGACGCTGCACCCTCCCCGTACAGGAGCGCAACACCTGCGCGGTTGAGAGGACCCAGATCCTTGGTCTGGAGCAGGGTCCCAGCCAGGAAGAGCCTGAGCTGGAGGCGGAGCAGTCGGGGTGTGTGCCATTGGCTGAGCGATCCGCTGGGCGGGCACAGCCCACTGGGTACAGTAGAGCCGAACCCGGCAGCGAGGACCAGCCTGGAGGAGAGACCCCGCCGCCCTCATGCCCTGCTGCACGGTGAGTGCCGTCCTATGCAGCCCCCGCCCAGACACCTGAGCACCCACGCCTCGCAGGTGGTGTGTGTGGGTCCCCTCCTTTGAGGCCATGCTGCTGCGGCAGCACCGGGGATGCTGTGGTCCCTATACTTGAGGGTCTGGAACCTTTTGAGGAGGGAACTGGGGAGCCTTCTCTGCCTGCGAGTTCAGTCTCCTCTAGCCCTGCGGCTGTGCTTTGCAGACATCAAAGTGCCTTGGGGCTGCACCCTTGACCAGCCAGGCTAGAACCCTGCCGGGCACCATCAACACTGGTGCTGGATCGCGCCTGTTCAGAGCCCAGTAGGCAGTTAGAGTAGGCAGTGGGTTCCAGCAGCGCCACCTTGAGGTGCCCCAGAACTGGCTGCTGCATTGCACCCACATCCCAGAGCCTGCTCCCTCTTTCCTCCAGGCCAGCTGCTGCCACCACAGCCACAGGGGGCACCAGGCTGGTGAAGGGACTGAATGACCCTTCCAGGGGCAGGGAAGCCAGACAGGTGGGCTAAGAGTGTGGGAGCTCTAGGACTTGTTGGCAAACACCAGCCCCTTGTGTGCTGTCCCTTGTGAAGCATTCTTCTGTCCTGTCTGTGCCTGTGACTTTTGACTTCTTTCATTCAGTTGTTTAGTTATCTATTTATTTATTTGTACTGGGGATCGAACTCCAGCCCTTGTGCTTTAAATCCCCAGCCCTCATTCAGTTATTCTTTTTAAGAAAAAGACTTGAGAGGAGCTATTACAAAACTCCTGATCTAACATCGCATTGCAGAATAGAGGAGACAGCTGAGGACAATCAAATGGTGGTGGAGGGGTCTCCCACACTCTGGGAACTGTCCAAGAACTTGCCCAGACCACTGAGTAGAGACAGGGGTGCTGGGGGCTGAGGTGAAGTCCTCGGGGGCCGGGGGCCAGGCCTTTGGGCAGAGCTGCGATCCCAGGACAGAGACTGATGGGCGCAGACCCCATTGAAGGAGGTCCACCATCCAGCCTGAGGTCATAGTGTGCTGACCCCTGCTGGCCCTCAGCCTGAGGATCTCTGAACTGCATGGTGGGGCAGCCTCAGCTGTTTGTTCTGAGACTCCTGAGAACAGAGGACCAGTCCGCACCTGGGGATGCAAGAGTCATGAGGGGAAGCTGAAGTCACAAGTAGGGCTCCAGGGAGAGAGCCAGAGCAGGTGGGGTAGTTGTACTGATTAATAGGGTGGAACTAACTGGGGCTTCACACTCACCAGGTGCTGGTGGGGAAGGTTAGGGGCATGGCCCCCATGGCCCCCATAGCAACCAAGAGGGGCGCAGTGACCATGCTGCAAGCTCTTCCAGCGTTTATGTAACACCCCTTACGAGTGGCAGCCACCCACCCAGAATGCCTTGCCCAGGAACTCCCGTGTCTTGTCTTGTGCTGCTCAGGACCCAGCAGGCTTTTCAGGATTCACATTGCTTCCACTCCACCAGTCAGCCAAGAGTCCTGCTGCTAGGGACCACCTGCTCTGTGTACACACAGGAACATGGCCAGCAGGACACCCTGGAGGGTGTTTATGGGAGTCCTGGTGGAGAGACTTGATGCTTTCTCAGGGTGGCCCCCATCAAAGCCCTACCTCTTGACTCTAAGTCAAGGCAGGGCAGCACAAGGGACAAGACCCTAAGTGCAGACTGAGCACCAAAGGTGGGGAAACTGAGAACCTGGGCGGAGTCCCAGCTGCACAGCCTTAGGAGGGCCACAGAGCCTCTGACCCTTGGTTTCTTGTCTGCAAAGAGGGAGAAGAGCTTGCACAGGGCATTCATGAATGCGTGCAGGAGGGTCCCCACAAATCCTCAAGCGCCATCCTTAACCAAGCAAGAAGCAGGAGTTCACCCAGGATACAGTCCAGTTCACACAGTGTGGTCCAGGACCCAGGGCCACTGTCCACTCTAGGGAGATGGATGAATTGGCTAGGCCAGATGAGATCACCACCAGGGACCCCAGTTTCTCAGGCATGATTGGGAGTCTAGAACTGAGACCCCAGGATTCCTTCAGTCCCCACAATCTTCTGCCCCTTGGTCTCATTAGCCTCTGCTCTGAGAGTCAGCTCATAGTTCCTAGACATCCCCTTTGCCCCTGGCCAGCTCCTGGCCTTGGCAGTTGGGGAGGAGGAGAGGAGAGGAATAGCAATTGGACTCAGCACAATCTCAAATACAAGTGCAGCTCCTAAGCCAGGGAAGGGGAGGGAGCAGAAAGGAAGAACACCAGGCTGCCAGGTGCCAAGGGACAGGGAGATGGGCAGGCATCAGGTGCCCCAGTGGCTACCTCCTTGCAGGGCCTGTGGGTACAGAGGTGTCCTGTCACTGTGGTCAAAGCCCCTAACAATTCAAAGCTTCTTCTACCCCAGTGGCCCGGGTGGAGGCACCCAGAGCCAGGAGCCAGGGTGACTGGGGAGGGGGTCTTGGAGGTGCCATTAGACAGTGTCTAATGGGCAACAGTGAGCGAAGAGAGGAGGCTGGACAATGCCCAAACCAGTGAACACGCCGCTCCCTCCCTTCCCCACACGTACCCCGAGCCTCAGTGACTCACTGGGGCGCTTCCAGCCTCCACCCAGATCCTTGACCTACCTGCCCCTCAATTCCAAGGGTCAGACAACACCAAGACTCCCCAGCCACTTCCTCCTCACACTCCCCAGGGTGAAGCCAAGGCAGAGACAAGGTCACCCCAGCTCCTGCCAACCAGAGCAGGCTGCAGGACTCCCAGCCCCAAGGTGACTCTGAGACTCAGGACAGATCCTGGTCACCTTCAGGGCCTTCATTTCCAGCTGGAAATTTTCATATCTTGCCTGGGTCAGGGCCAGCATTCTCGGGATGGTAGTCCTTGTCAGGCCAGTAATTTATCCTCATCCTGGATGTCCTGGATAAAGTGTCCTTCTCTCCAGACCCCTGTGGTCCAGGAACCTCCAACTCACATCCTGCTCAGGCATCCCTGGCTGCATCTTCTAGGCTCCATCTCCAGGCCAGATCTGGGGAATGACCCAGGCTGGAGCTTTCCAGGTATCACACCAAGCCTGAGGTGTGTGGGGTGGCAGGGAGGGGACCGCAGAGGTCTTTCCTCCCATCTGCATGCTTGCCATCTGTCCCCTGAATGCCAGTCTGGAAGGTGGGACTCTGCTTTGCCCAGACCAGGTTCCTAGACTGGGTTCCTAAGGGCACAGAATGCCTGACCTCAGTCAGCCACATAGGAACACTGTCACTAGCCAGTCATGAGGCTGTCACCCACTACCCACCAGGACACAAACTGGCCCACAGGGGAAGCCTCCAAGAGTGAGGAATGCTGGCCGAATACTGGCCCAAGAAGACTCAGCACCTTCTTCTCCGGAGACCCTGTCACTAGCACCTGCAGCTTGCCGTCACCACAGGCGTCATTGTGTTCTTGGTAGGTGTGTGAAGGACAGAGAGAGGTCACATTGGCCTCATTGAACAGATGGGGCCTGTCTGGCTGCCTTGGGTTACAGGTGAGCCCCAAAAGCTTTTAACTAAGCCCCCACTGGGTGTCATCAGTGCCCTTTGGACCTATGCTCTGTGCCTGTCACCCCTTCACAGGCCCAACCTAAGGCCCTTGTCACAGCCTTGGACAGGTCCATCTTCAGTCAATACAGATGGGCTGTGCGCTTGTTTCCAGGGACTGAGAACCATGGCCTGGGGGCTGAACAATCCTAGTGTATCTTCTGGAGGCCGGGACCCCAAGTGTAGACTGGTCTTCCTGAGGCTGTGAGGGTCTGCTGCAGCTCTAGTGGTGGCTGGCCATCCTCAGTGCTCCTTGGGTTGTAGAAACATCATTTTCCTCTACTTGCATCTTCACATGACTTTCTCCCTGGGTGTGTGTGTGTGTGTGTGTGTGTGTGTGTGTGTGTGTCCAAATCTCATTTTGATTAAGGACATCGGTCAAGCTGGAGAAGTGGCCCCATCTTATCTTGGCTAATCACATCTGCTGTGACCCTATTTCCAAGAGACCAGGCGACAGCCAGCCCCAGGAGTTGTGTAGGATGTTGAAACTGGTCCAGGGCAGGAAGTAGAAATATCCTAGGCCAGATGCTACCTGCAGGTAAGCTGAGCACACAGGTGACAGACAGCCAAAGCAACTTACCCAAGCCAGACCCAGCCTCTCATAACAATTAGGAGATTTTGGCTGGTTACAGTCAATACTGCCTGAGAAGTCTCAGCGACCAAGGTAGAAGTTACTGTAGTACCCAGAATGCCAGTTCCAGCCCACCTTGTGCTTGACCCAGTGGGCCGCAGTGGTTTTCTTCTCCAGAGCAACTTCCCTTCCTTCCAGCAGGGGTCAGTGTAGGACAGGGTTTGCTGAAGGACCTCATGGGCTCTTCATTCGTGACACACGCTAGGGAGTAGGTGGCTTGGGGAGAGAAAGAAGAGGCTTGAGTCGCAAACTGGTCCCAGCCAGAGCCCAAAGGCTACCTTGTCCACAGTGAGTGGTCAACCAGGGTCAAGGCGCTGGGGCAGAGCTGAGGCCTGACTGTCGGGGAGGAGGGCTTGCTGCAAAGGCCCAGGGCCATCCCAGTTTGCTCCTCCCACCATATACTCACCTGTCCTGACCACTGAGGCTGCTGGAGCAAGGTGGAGCACCTACTGCAAGCCCAGCACATGGTATTCACTCAAAAACAAAAACAACACAGGTGTAAATACCGAATAGTTTCTCTGGTGTGAAAACCCTATAATTATGAATAAGATCCTAATGGTATAATTGACAACATGAAATAGGAAGGAAAGGGCTAAAGGTGTAGGGGAATTCAGAAGGGTAGGGCAAAGGAAATAAGGGAAAAATATGAGAAAATGAAAAAATGGAAATAAAGTTTTTGTAAATAGGGAAGGGAGGAGGGGGTGAAGGGAAGGCAGGGATAAGGGGAAAAAATGAGAACCAAGACCTGTAAAGGTACAAGATCCCAGTGATGAATGTAACTGTACTGTATACC